GCGTGAAATTTTTAACTGTTTTCAATGTTTGAACTATTTTTGCATAGACTAAAGTACAAAGTAGTGGAAATCGTCAATAGGCAATCGTTCGATGGGCTGAATTGCACAAAACACATGATCGCACCGGCATTTCTGGTGCGCGTTGCTATTTATTTCTTCCTCTTGCTTGCCGTCTTGTCAGTGAAGTTTGTACACACATAAATGCGCTAAAGCAACGCAGTCGTTGTCCGGCTGATCGCCCATCATGGGCTTTAGGTTGCTGATATTTCTCAAGTTCACGTGCAGCTCTTCACTGCTTCACATTTGTCATCATGGGCTTCGCAAAATGCTAGCATAAACTGTACCCACTGAGTGTCATCGAGGCCTTTCAAATTATCAGCAATAGAGCATTGGTTGTTGGAAAGGCCTTGATGGCTTTCAGAAAGGCTTGTCAAAAAAGTAAAGAAGATATTCGAAATTAGCTCGGGTTGCCGACATCAACCACTTGCTTAAAAAAGGCTCTTCTTTTCTTTTTTGCAGCTAGTTTTACGAGGAGATTTTGATTCCTTCAACGTACTGGATGGTGCAGTGGCGTTTCACTGCCGAATGAAACCATCATAAGAAAGTATTTTTCCGCTTGAGCCTGTAGTCTTAGAAAATCACTGGACGCTTGATCTTTTGTATTCTCGGCAGTGTCAAGAGCGCACAGTGCCGAAAATTGCTGGCTTGGGAAACAAGAAAGTTGGAAAGCTAAAATTTGGAGGGAATGTTCCCTGTCCATGTGCAACTGCTGCGAGCATCTGCTGTGAAAAATGCCAAATTGTCCTGCTGTTGTTTTAAACTATTTCACCTCTCTTCTTGCTCCTGGTTAGCTGACAGAATGAGCTACGGCAAACCATCAGAAGCTGGCGGTGTTCCCCACTTTAAATATCATTTATGGAGCTGTAAATTCGGCAAATGAACAAGCACTTCTTTGTGACGTGCCTGAGCAGCAACGCTGCACAATCTAGTCATAAAAGGACGCCCATACTTGTGTTAGCCAAATGACTGGTATGTTTGGTGTGCATCATGTTCGGGGCGTAGCTGGATCAGGCTATTCTGTTGTAGCAGTGCTTCAGCTCACACCGCATCCTCGGGTACCCGTACTCTTCCTTTCTGCCAGAATTTTCGCAGTTGATTGTTTTTCCTCACAAGTACCACTCTGGCCGACCGGGCGATTAGCAAGCTCGCATCAAATGTTTTCTTTTTTCGTGGTTATGACGATATCAGGATACCTCTGAATCCAATGGAATTTCTGGATTTCCATACAGGCACAGGAATATCTTCCATGTATCATCTTTCCTGACCATTTTGACAGCCCACCGATTTACGTTACTTGCAGCATCAAGCTTCTCTGGCAAGGAGACAGGCTGCAGAATTGTCAGGCACACTGGACTGTTTTATTAACCGATTGAAATTTAGCGTAAAAAATTCATTTAATTAGCATAATTCCTATTTAAACATCACTTTTTTTAGTACCAGCAACACCAGCAGCAACAGCAACAACACCAGCAGCAACAGCAGCCAGAAATCGCACCGTTCTCAAATCCTCCGATATATGGTGGCTATGCTTCATCAAATATTTATGCTAGCCAGGTCTGTTTATCTCTGCTGTCAGGACTGATTTGTATGCCAACGAAAGGCCCGCCTTAAACAGCTAACTTGATGATTTAAAATGTGCGTCGCAAGGATGAAGGGAAAGGTGGAAGGGAAGAACGGAAAGATAGGGAGTGGAGAGGAGAGGGCACAAAAATTTGAACAAATTTTGCTCATATCACCGGTAAGGTTCAGTTTTAATGGCTTATTCAGTAGCAATTCTCGGTTTAGCCAGCATCCGTCAAAAAATGAAAATCTTATGGAATCCATGTGACCGGACTCTATGAGGCAATTTGACGCCAACTAAGAAAAAGAGAAAAAGGAGGCGACAAAAAACGCACGAAAAAAAGATAGGGGAGCTTTGCTCACGTGCTCCACTGAATGGTTATGCGCAGGATATTGCTTGGCCACGGTGCAAAGTAAAATCGCTTGGTTGGCTTTCTCCTTTCGAGCGTCAGGGACTGGTAGTTGCAGATGCTCTGATGGCGTTCAGAGGATGGTTCGTACACGCTTTGCGTCTTAGCGCCCGTAACTGCTGGTGCCGGGCATTCCATGAAACTGAAAATTCAAAGCTGTTGGCAGAGCTATGTTATGTTTACTGTATGGCTGGACCATGGTAGTACCGGGAGGTTCTTCAACGGTAACTGCAATCTCGAATATGTTTATGTAAATGGTCTACAACTTTCCAAGGCATTCGTTTGGTCGGCTATTCTCTCGTCGCATTTCTCGTCAAATGACTCCTCCGTTCTCGGCTTGAGCCTTCCTCGTCTACATAATCCCATGTAGGCGTTCAGGGCGGATTCTTGCAGCGCGTTAGCAGTCTTCTTTATGTTCTTTTAACATTGCGTGTGCATCGTTCATTGATCCGCTCCGTGCAAATAAGGGCTCATTTTTGGCGCGGGGCAGCCCAACTTTCAGTCCAGTCTCTTCATCAAGTCGTCCAGCACTTCATTGTTAAGCTTTCTTACTAACTTCCATGCCCCGCTCCATGGCTTGTTAAATTACCGGTAACTGCTCAGTGGACGTGCTCTCTCATGTTTCACTTCCATAAAACGGAATGAAATTAAAAAGTCTGACTTTCGCAAAATCGCTGACTGAATTCAGGAAGACGTCTTATATCGTGGCAGAGGCCACCCATCTTGCCGTTATGTTTTATTTTTCAGCTCAGTTTATCATTCACCTTTATCGTTAGTCCCTAACCCACATAGCTGTTGACGAGCTCAGCGAATTGTTTTTTGCGTCTCATGTCGGACTAGGGGCAGTGTGTGTGGCTCATCCGTTCATTTAGTTTTATCTTAATGAATTTGGAGCCAGTTTTCTTTCGCAGTGAGTGCAAATTCATTTAGCAGATCTGTAACAGCTGTAGGGATCTTGCGATAAGCGCATTGTTTACGAAATTTGGCATTTGTAGTATTCCAACGTCGTCTTTTTGCTTTTTCTCTTTTTTTTCCAAGCCTTGCTTCACGCATCTACCACTTTTAATTTATGTGAACTCATCGAAAACGGTGATTCATGTGAATAATTCGACGAGAAAATTTTTTTTGGCTCGAATGTACGCTGAATCGATATCTGATTTGGGCAGACCTTGCAGTAAAGGAGTTTTGTTCTTCCAGTCTGAATACTTCTGAAATCGATGTCTCGCAGACAAAAAGAAAAACTGTTTCCTTTACTTGCTTTATCAGACAGTGATTGATAGTTGCTGTTTGCTCGAGTTTCTAAAGACAGTCATTTCAAGTCGGGCTTAAACTGTGCGCATAGAAGTGTAGTTCATGTGACAGCAATTTGTTGAACGTAGTTACAGATGTCTTCGCGGTCTCTTTTCGATACCATCCTTCATCTGGATCTTTTTGTCCGTACTTCAAGATATCCAGATACGTCTGCGATTTTTTCGCCCCCATCGTTGGATTTCCTTCCAGCGGATCTTATCCAGTGTAATTGCTTTTCTTTGATTCATTATCGCGTTGCATTTTCCATTTCGTCAGGAGCTGTAGGTGGTGTAGAAAGATGGCTGATAAAGCAAGAGTTATTTCTTGTTGACAAATCACAATCACCCTTTTTTGAAAGTTCTGTTGCAGTCATCTTTTTTCCAAACTTCTTGCACCGAAACTCGAGTTGTGAAATGTAGAGGACTAAGTAATAGAAGTAAAATCTAATTTCGTATCACCCGCAGCCGCTATTCCTCGCCTTCGAAAGTGTTAGGGTTTCTCAGCTCAGATGGCTTCTGACTCAACAGTTTTACAGGCGAGGGAAAGCCTATAATATGCGCTGTAGTGATGTCCCATTTCTCCGCTGAAAGAAATCGGGACGTTTTTTGTGCTAAAAATCGATTCTCATTATGATTCTCACGAGATTATGACCAGAAGCTGAACACGGAATGACAGATGCATCTTTGACCAGTTTCTTTTGTCTTGGAGAATTGCAATTTCATTTCGGAATGCGTTGCTCATGTGCGACATTTTTTCAGAAATGAATTTATTATGTGCATCTCTGAACACCGGGTGAATTTAGCGAATCATTTAGAGACATAACCCAAGTAGCAATGCATCATGCTCGCCGGTGTAGGCACGTGTTTTTGTATGTTCCTATCCCGCATAGAGGGTAAGACTACATATGTTGCTTGTTTGAACATTTGATGCTTCTACGCTCTGGACCTATGCCTAAACAAAAGCTCATTTTTCACTTACCGTTTCGCGCATGAAAGCAAAAGTCCTTGGAACAATACTGCTTCCTGCGCAGTCCGATTACCGGGTTAGTTGGACTTCATCAGTGTACAGAAACCATTCCTTCATCAGTATACAGAAACCAAAACTACCACGTACGCGAGGTCTAGGCATGCTTCAAAACTAAATTTGAAATGCTTCGGTGGCAAACTGAATAGACTGAATAGAAGCGCTTAATCTACATAGCTTCCGAATTGACACTTTGTCAGTAACAATATCCCAATCTCAGTCTTGACTTGCCCTTATGTGTGGTGTAGCGTATGTTAAAGCTGTATTTGAAATATTTTGCTCACACTAGAACGTAGAACATCCCTGTGAATCCCTTTTAGCTTTCTATCCCAAAGTCATTTTCCCATCTAAAAGTCTGCGCTTTCTTCTAGGCCTTCCGGAACCCGGGCATGCGTGAACTCTGGTTTTAATCTTTTCGGAAGTTGTGTGCGCTAGGAACACCCTTTTGAAATTCCAGCTTCCTAGCTTCTGCAGTTGCTGAGCTGAATGTTAGTGACAAAAATCCGAACACAATTCGACAGCCTCTCGACAGTATGCGTTTCTTGCATCTGCAAAAACGCATGTTGTCAAGGGGTTGTCTGTGTGTGTGTGTGTGTGCTGTGTGTGTGCTGTGTGTGTGTGCTGTGTGTGTGTGTGCTGTGTGTGTGTGTGCTGTGTGTGTGTG